GCTGGTGGAAGAGCCCGAGGTCATTCCTTGTCTGCAGGCCCAAGCACCTTGCCGGGATGTGCGAGCAGCAGCGGCCCCGGTGCCGGTGCTGTGCATCTGAGAGGGCTCCTGAGCGCAGCCGCACGGCGCCTTTCCGGCCGTGCCCGGCTCGCCGACTGACTGGCAGCGGCCGTGCTCTGAAGCCGTGGGCCATCCCTTGTGTTTTAAACAGCAGAGCTGCTCCCGGGGCTCAGAGGTCAGTTCCACCAATCGTGCTAAAGCTGTTTTGTGCGTCTGAGGAGCTCCATTCAATTCGCGCCAGCTCCGTCTAATCAAAAATTGAAATGACAGTGTCTTAACAACACTTGACGCGGACTGTCACCTTTTATTTCACCACTGCTGTCCCAGCACCTAGAAACGCACACAGCTGCAAAAGCAGAGGAGGCCAGCAGTGCAGGGAACGCACCTCTGAGCCACATCCCACATTTGTGGTGCCATAGCAAATGCAACAGGCTGGGCACCAAGACGAATTTGGCGCTGGAGCCAGGGATGCCTCGCTTTGTGGGTTCAGCCCGCTGCTGGAACCGGGGAGAGGGCCGACTTCAGGGGCTCTGTGCCTTCTGGGTCTGAGCGCCGGGGCAGGTCCCGAAGGATGTCTGTCATGGCTCGGGACTGCCCGTGGGCTCCTCCAGGTGCCCGGAGCTGTCCTGGCCCTGTGGGGACCATTTCAGGGGTGAGGGGTGAGAGAGCGCGCCCTGACCCCGCTGTTCTGCAGGATTGTGGCCTCCCTTTGGAAGTGCCAGGCGCAGCGCTCTGGTATTTGGCTGAATCGTGGTAGATCAGGTTTCTGTAGAGTTAGTGGGCAGTAACCTATTTTCTGTTTATTGCCTTTCCTTTGCCCTGTTCCCCTCAGAGGAGATGCTTTCCTAATGCATTTGCTCGTGAAATCCGCCTCAAACTCTTAAAGAAGGTGAAGTGGAATGAGAGAAAAGAGATTTTCTAGAATAAGTTGTAGGACAATAAACATTTCCTTCCTTGGTAGTTTCTTTTTTTTTTTTTTAATTTTCACTGTGATGAACAACAAATCTATAAAGAGTCTCTATGCATCAAAAAAATGCCAATACATAGAACAAGAACACTGTTCCATAACACAATTAAAAACAGGTATAATTTGAGCAACATCAATATTCTTTCAGAAGGTAGTGCCGCATTACAGAAGTAAGCACTACTTCCACATTTATAAACATATGTCAGAATTATTTCCTGAGTCAAGGGAAGGTGACATCCAGCACAATCTCTTTACTGGATTTATCCATTTATCCTAATTTTCACAACTGTGTATATTAAAAAAAAAAAAAAAAAAATGCTTATAGCAAATACCATCTTGTGCTGTAATGCTGTGGTGGGAATTGGGCTGGAGGAAGGAGTACTCACTCGGTCTCCCCCGGTGCCAGGACCTGCGATTAACACCCTGTAGACCTACCAGATGTTTCTTCATCTGCGACTGTTCTCCTGCCTCCCCTTCAGCTCCCGCTGAAGTCCCCGCGCCCCTGCGGCACCGGCCCTCGGTGGCTCTCCGTCAGACCCGGCTGGGCCATGATTCCTGAGGCAGAGGTGGTCTTTATTTATGCCCCAGGCAGCACCACACCCATCCATGAGATTATTATTCTTGATAATAATCGTGATCATTATTATCATTTAGGTACCCTCACTTGGTTTTATGCTACAGGATGGGTGTCCTGGTTTTGGCTGGGACAGAGTTAATTCTCTCCCCGGTAGCTGGTACAGCGCTGTGTTTTGGATTTAATATGAGAATAATGTTGATAACACGCTGATGTTTTGTATATTCTAATTATTTTATTATTATTATAATTGTCAAATTATAGTCATTATTTTCTTCCTTTTCTGATCTATTATTTCAGCCCACAAGTTTTACTTTTTTTTTGATTCTCTTCCCCATCCCACTGGCTGGGGGGAGTGAGTGAGCAGCTGTGTGGTGCTTAGTTGCCAGCTGGGGTTAAACCACAACCATAGGACAAAAGAATTGAAGATCTCTGTACCCTTGGCACCATTACTGAGTCATATTTTCACACCAATTAACATCTCTTCCAGAGCAGGTATTCAGGGCATCTGCTCATAGTTCACACTTTGTGGTTACCTTTTGTTCATATAAATATTAACCATGGTCTGTTGGGTATGGAAGGAAAAATCTTAGTCTGTATTAGTCACGTATTGCCGGCGTCCTCAGTCAAGGCAACCAAATATTCAGCATGTTTAAGAAGAATGAGACAAGAAAATTGCCCATCTTATTTTCGGACTAGCAATTAAAAACTTCCAGAGAAGCAGGCTGTTTACACAGTGAGAGGACATGGCGCAGAAAGAGTAGAGAGGTGGCTGGGCAAGCTGGGCTGGCTGGGCACTGCGGTGGCTGTGCACAGGGACCGAAATCTGTGATGATGAACACGGTGTGAAAACAGAGCTGGCAGAAATCACATGAAGAGGAGTCAGTGCTAATAAATATTGCATTAATAACAAAAAAGGATCACTCACATCTCAAGCTGGATGCATGCTCCCCTCCTCTTAACGGCAAGTTCAGAACCAAGCGTTCATTACCAGGTTTTGTTCTGCCTGTTTGCTTTTAATTTCCGATTCTCTGTTCTGGATGGCTGCAGCCATCTGACCCCTTGGATGCATTAACATTTTAGTGAGATGAGCAACAGGAGGCTGTGAAATGTCAGTCATCTTTGAAAAGCAAAAAGGATTTAGAAGTAGTTGATGGGCACGTGGTTGTCTTAATTCAGCATTATAACAGCAGAGATAACACTGACTCCTCCTCTGTCTCCTCCCCCTCCCACACACACTCACACTGAAGGAAAAAAAGACATTTGCATTCATTGCCAGGCTAGTGATGTGCTCGAAAGGATATTTATCCCTCCTGTAAACAGTCATGATTCCCTACCCTTCCCCAAGTTCTGGGTTGCTGACTTGTTTCCCTTTGCTTCTCAGGTAGATAAGGCTCTTCAAAACACAAGCATTGATGTAATAAATCAGAGAAAGAAAGGAAAAAGAAAAAAAAAGGTGCACACTCGTGTGTCTTAGAGGGCTTGCTCAAGGCAAGGAAAAATGAAGTCAAATGGCACACTACTCAAAGCCGTCATTTTCAGAAAACCAGAGTCTGATCTTGCAAGTCCACACTTAGTGTCCTTTTAGGAACTGTTCATTCATCAGAGTATTTCACATAATCTGACAGAAAATTATATTTACGATGCTTTTAGCTCCATTTGGGACATTTTTTTAATACTACTTCTGGGATGTAAATTATTTAAAAATCATCAATTTAGGTCTTTACATGAGGAGATGAAAGCTTAACCAAAAAGCTTTCCTGTTCATGGCAGTCTTAAATTCTGCGGGAGATCTATGTATTTTTGCTTAATTGAACACCTAAAGAAAAAAAAGAGCATGGCCTCATAACATTTTTAGTAGAAGTAAATGTTAGATTTATTTAGCCCCATTGACTTTTGAAATACAACCGCTAATAGCATCTGTTTAAATATTGTCCTCCAGAATGGATAAAACGTTTTATCACTAGGCATTAAATTCACTAACGGAGCATTTTATATGCCTCTGTCCCTTGCAGGGCTCTTGCGGCGGCTCCAGCCGCGTGTCCCCCCGTGAGGGGTGAAGGCGGGCTCCCCCGCGAGGGGGGCTGCCCCGAGAGCCCCTTCCCTGCGGGGGGTGCCTTGTGCCACGGGCAGCCCGGGCGGCCGGGGGACAGAGCCCACACACTCTTGTTCTGCCCGGGACCCTCCTGCTCTGCCCGGGACCCTCCTGCTCCACCCGGGACCCTCCTGCTCTGCCCGGGACCCTCTTGCTCCACTCAGGACCCTCTTGTTCCACCTGGGACCCTCCTGTTCCACCCAGGACCCTCCTGTTCCTCCCGGGACTCTCCTGCTCTGCCCGGGACCCTCCTGTTCCACTTGGGACCCTCCTGTTCCACCTGGGACCCTCCTGTTCCTCCCAGGACTCTCCTGTTCCACTTGGGACCCTCCTGCTCCGCCCGGGACCCTCCTGTTCCACCTGGGACCCTCTTGTTCCACCTGGGACCCTCCTGCTCTGCCCAGGACCCTCCTGCTCTGCCTGGGACCCTCCTGTTCCACCTGGGACCCTCCTGTTCCACCTGGGACCCTCCTGCTCTTCCCAGGACCCTCCTGCTCTGCCCGGGACCCTCCTGTTCCACCTGGGACCCTCCTGCTCTGCCCAGGACCCTCTTGCTCCACTCAGGACCCTCTTGTTCCACCTGGGACCCTCCTGCTCCACGCAGCCCTGTGGGGAAGGGGACGAGCCCCTGGCTGGCTCCCTCCCGGCCGGGGACACCTCGGCACTTGCTGCTGGCAGAGCCGAGGTGCCGGGACATTGGGGGCCGAGGGTCCCGACCCCCCCGTGTTGGCAAGCCAGGCACTCCCCGCCTTGTGTGCCCGTGGGTCGCGTGTCTAGCTGTGGCACAGGGCAGCGTGCCGTGCCGCTCCACGCTCCTTCCATAGCCAGCCTGGGCTGGATGCCAGCAGGGCTCGGCCTGGGCTGGAACTCTCTGGTCACAGAAACTGATATTCTTCTTCCTTAGGTGGTGGTTTTGGTTGCATACAATTCTTTTGTCTTGGTAGTTCCTTTAAAGAAGTAACGGGAGCAGTGTTTAAGAAATACTTGAACTCGTGACATATATCTAGCAGATGTAAACAACCTCAAAGACCAAGGATAAATGTAATTGAAAAGTGTCTAAATAAAAGATGTCTGTTTGGATACCATCTTCCTCTCTGAACAGTTCCAACCCCAAACTAATCCTCAGGAAGTGGGCGTGGGATGGAGCCACAAAACTGACTGCTCCTAGGAAAGGGACTGCTCTAATTGCACAAGAGAGTTGCAGTGAATGGTTTTGACATTCTTTTAAATGAGATACATCTGTTATGAATAAGAGTGTGAAAACTTGCTAAATATTCATGAATCTGTTTTTTCTTTTGTTCCAGTTGTGCATGGGGAGTCTGGGATGTTTCCCCCCCCTCCCAATTATTGGCTGTCTCATCTCTGTCAGTGCAAATCTGAGGGCTTCAGGACACATTTCATGTCGAGGCGCCGTGACTGATGCTAACCTTAAAATCAATATGTGAAAAGTTGGTGGTTGGAGGTGAGTATCGCTACAGATGCCCTAGAGACACTGGGATTCCCCATCATAATTAGCATTGATTCCCCTTTCATACGGGGGCTTTGTTGTCTGTGAACTCATTACATTGTGACCTGCATGTCAGACTTGCATTTATGCTCTGGGAAAGTCAGTGTATCTGCTACAGGTTCTTATGCTCCTGAGGCTGGAGTTGTTTAAATGCATGTGATGAGAGGACTGTTTAGAAATATTTCAAGTAAGAACTATAAAAGCAGGTTCCAAGGGTACTTTTTTACAGCCAGAATCTGTTCTCCTGCCTAAATGTGACATACTAAAAAGGCAGCACTCTGTTTATAAAACCAGCATGGAATCTCAATGCCTGCACTCATTGTTTCTGATGAATAGGGGGTGGCAACAGCACTGATGGAGCTTACTTGGAGGTTGGTTTGGCTCCATTATTGCTTTATTTGGGAGGACTTGACTTTTTTTGTGCTGCATTGACTTCCAAGTGATGCTGGAAAACCCAGATGGAGCAGAAGGTGCAGTACATCGAGTGGGGCTCTGCAGAATCCCCCAGGAGTCTCAGACTGAGTGCATCCAGTCAGTACTTCTCCTTGGCATAGGCTCTCCTCCAACTAGTCTCCTATAACCAGGTATTTGGGAAGAAGCACTGCTTGAATATGCTTGATGTAAAGAGAGGTCTTTGTCCCAAAGGAGTGAGGAAAAAAGGTAATTTTCATCCAAGAATGGCGGTACATAACCTCAGTTCTAAGGCAAGAATCAGCACACAACAAATTAACAAATCTTTGGTTTCAGTGTACGTTTAGACTGATTTATGATACCAAAAAATTTCATGCCTTCTGTAACGTGGAAGCCCTGAGTCACAGGTTATACCTGGCAAATGCTTTCATACAAGTAATCTGGGTTGGACCCCAGTACGGCTGTGAGACCCCTTTCTCAGATGTTGATTACCAGCAAGGTTGAGATGACTGGAATTTTGCTTGGCTTGACGATTCTGAAGTATTTAGCAGGGCAATGGGAACCGATGAACTATTTGCTCTTCCTTACCTGAATGAAATAATACTGACGTACCAGCTAACAGGAATTCATAATAAGTAAGTCATGTTGCAGGAGGAAAGAGCTGGAAAGAACTGTTCCATGTGCAGTTGGCTACTTCAGCTGTAACCACCTCTCCTAACAAAGAAAAAAGGCTGCAACTTAGGACGAATTCTAAAAGATAATACATTATTTGGAGACCTGTAAGCTTGATTTTCCAAGGCAGAATTCCCAAAGCCATGGTGATACAGAACAATTCCCCGAGGCCATGTATATACCTGAAACCCTCTGTTTAGGGAAGACATGGATTTAAAGGGGTAATGAGATCTTCTGTTGGCTCTCTGCAAAGAGATAAATGTCTCCCCTATGTGCTGCCCAAAATTTAGAAGCTCTTCTACACTGTAAGAGACCAGGTGAAATATGTTTATTTTTAAACCAAACTCTGCCTGCAAAGATACCCTCAAGTGTATGCTGTAAATAAATACACAAACCGAAAACATGTCTGAATATGTCTAGAGATAGAATAGCACATACTGGTATTGTGACAATAAATTTATTGTCTACCCTGAATATTTTAAATGATGCAATGGGCAGTGATAACCCTGAGAGTAACTATGGTAACACACAAAAACTTCCTTTCTAGACAAAAGCATTTCTGCATTTTTATTGTCATCAGACCACTAATTAAAAGAAGGGATCACAATAGAGCTGTCATGAGAATTTAACACAGTTTTCAGCCCTGGGTGAGGTTTGCTTCCACATTTGAAATGTGAAGAATTTGTGCAGTGTGTGTAGGACCAGTTCTGTGCAAAAGGTGGAAATGTTGCGGCAGGAAGCATCTCCCCTCCCTGCCCGTGGGGTGGCACGGGGCAGGCCGCTCCACCTCTTGGCTCTGCTCCATCAGAGCCGCCTTGTTTGCCTGCTGGTTATTCCGCTGGGACTCTGATCCTGACCAGGGACGCCTAGAGCGGTGGTGGAAGTTCGCAGTCCGTCATTTCTAGAGCATGGCTTGTGGGGCAGGCACGGGGGTACGTGTAGCCAAAGCACCTGACAGGTGTCAGGTTAAAAGACCATCAGTTATAACTGTAATTTGCCCCAGGAAAAGGGACTTGGCAACGTGGACAGGATGTGACCCCAGGAACCTCCTGGAGCCCCTGGGGCAGCGGGCTGGTTCCAGCGCAGGGGAGACCCCCGAGCAGCAGCTCCGTGGGGCAGCGGGCTGGTTCCAGCGCAGGGGAGACCCCCGAGCAGCAGCTCCGTGGGGCAGCGGGCTGGTTCCAGCGCAGGGGAGACCCCCGAGCAGCAGCTCCGTGGGGCAGCGGGCTGGTTCCAGCGCAGGGGAGACCCCCGAGCAGCAGCTCCGTGGGGCAGCGGGCTGGTTCCTGCGCAGGGGAGACCCCCGAGCAGCTGCTCCGTGGGGCAGCGGGCTGGTTCCAGCGCAGGGGAGACCCCCGAGCAGCAGCTCTATGGGGCAGCGGGCTGGTTCCTGCGCAGGGGAGACCCCCGAGCAGCAGCTCCGTGGGGCAGCGGGCTGGTTCCAGCGCAGGGGAGACCCCCGAGCAGCAGCTCCGTGGGGCAGCGGGCTGGTTCCAGCGCAGGGGAGACCCCCGAGCAGCAGCTCCGTGGGGCAGCGGGCTGGTTCCTGCGCAGGGGAGACCCCCGAGCAGCAGCTCCGTGGGGCAGCGGGCTGGTTCCTGCGCAGGGGAGACCCCCGAGCAGCTGCTCCGTGGGGCAGCGGGCTGGTTCCAGCGCAGGGGAGACCCCCGAGCAGCAGCTCGTGCCCCCCGTGTCCCAGCCCTTCCCTGCAGGCAGCTGGAGGCCCCAGAGCTGAGATTAGCGCCCGACGTAGGGCAACAACGTGTTGTTCCAAACCAAAGCAAACCGGAACGAAACAGAAGGGGAGCCTGAGTGTTCACACTGCTGTGGCCGCTTTGGGAGCCCCGCAGCCCCTGGCGCGGCAGTACTGGGAAGGGCGCCCGACCTGAGATTCCGCGGGGGTGAGGCACGAGCACACGTGTGTGTGTGTGACCCGGGGGGCCGGGCCCCTCCCGGGGGGATCTCTCCGGAGCCACAGCTGGCGGTGAGGTGAAAGTGCTGAGCATGGTAATACAGGCATTAACTGAAACTCAGAATGATTCAGTTCTGGATGGAATAGACATGCAAGCATCCTCGTACTTTAAGACAAGATTATTTCAGAATTCTGGGGATTTTAAAACTCAGGGGATTTCGTTCCATGTGTTTAAGGGACATAGGGAATAAAAGAAGGATTAAAATGGGGAAAAAGACAGAAAGTACTACAGTATCATCTTAGAACAGCAAGATGGTGATTAGGCAGTTGAAAAGTCTTCCCCTTGAAAATTAATATGATCTGAAAGTATAAATGACTTATGCAGAACCATTTCCTAATCCCAAATAAAAAGAAGCCCTTATTAAGAAATTAATCTTGTTGTCCTTACATGTGTTAGGCTCCTGGGATATGACTGTCCTGTGTCTTCATTACCCTCCTGAACATCTTTATGTATATTCTTAACTTTATCAACAGATGCAGTTCCACTGGGACCATAATTGCTCTGTGCTGTATTATTCTACCCTATTTTCCTTTATTGTTTTTTCCCCTCTCCCTACTTTTAACCCTGGGTATTATGTTATTCTAGGATGTGGCTTTTTTCTTCAGAAGTCCTCCAATTTGTTTCAGTTGATGAATCAAGGACTCGAGCTTCCTTTTAAGCACTAATTGGGAATGTGCTTTGTCCTTAAAATGAAAAACACACTGAACATCCTTTTGCTGCTGAGGGTATTCACGTGACTTACGGCTCTGTTCCTTTGTGTAGCTGCAGCACAGGTTTTGACCCTGTTGTCAGTGAGGGAAAGCAAGAGCTATTACACAACCAAGTGAAGTTCAGTTTTTGTTGCAGTTACGGCGCTGGTTCCTTTGCTGGTATCAGCAGGCACGGCGCCGTTGGCTGGCTGGGGTGGATTGCTGCTGGTCCATGCTGGCCGCGTATCCTCTCATCATGCGGCTCGTGCAGCAGCCTGGTGCTTTCCTGCAGGATGCTCTAACCCTGCCGCCAGCAAAGAAACGGCCTTTGTAGGAGTTAAAGTAATGTCGTTTCCAAAAATTGCTGATACAAAACAACTGGACTACTTTAGTCTTCAGCTCAAATACTTGATGCTACTGCTTTTTTTGACTGCTGAGGCCACTTGGGATTGCCTGCTCACCACTGTGTGGCAGTTACCAGTGCTATCTAGACACACAGTTGACTTTAAAGGATGGATCCTATTTTCCCTATGCCTTTGCTAAATATTCAATGATTTAAGTTAATTCTGAGTTGTGGAGGTGGTGCAGATTTTCCTGGCAGATCTAGGGTAGCTCCCCTTCGCACTGATCAGAGGAAGGTGAGTTCTGCCTCGTATCAGAAGAATGAAATTGCATAGAAAATACAACCCTGCAGTAACTGCACCAGCACTGCAAAAGGTGTAAGAGAGGAAAGTATTAACATACCTGCATGTGAAAAGTCAGACTGTGTCTGTGTCCTGAACCCCCGCTGTGGACTACAGAGACCCGTCAGCCGGCCTCACCTCCGTTAGCAAGGCTGGGAGGCACACAGCAGCGCCGTAGGGACTGTACCCCTCGGGGTACTTGACCTCCCCATGGATATTTTACTGCCGTACAGGAGGCACGTGTCCTGTGCCTGTTCTCGAACGCTGATGTGGGTAAAGAGGACGGTAGTTCTACAGCTCAGTGGATGCAGCTCCAGAAGTAAAAGTGCGAGGAAGATCTAGAACTAGTGTGCAGAACTGGGCTAATGTAAAATTTAAGAGACGAAAATCTTACAGAGATCAAAAATAGTAATATTGATTTGTCATAATAATGTTCTGACTCTTAATGAGGAGCTGCCCTGCAGATATGGATTGTTGTAGCACAAGTTGAGTCACCGCTGTGCAGGCTGATTCATCATCCATGGCAC